GGGAACCATGCAAAAAACGCATCTTCGCACGGGCAGCCCGTGCGTTGGCCAATTATTGCAATTTGCGTATAGGCAAAAACGCATAATGAGCGCGGTCATTAGTAGTGAGCCTAGGGGCGTCTCGGATGAAGTAAAGGAACAACGAAGAGATATGTTTCAGGTCGTATTCAGCTTCGAAACGAGGATATGAATTTGGTGGACTTGATTATGTTGATAAGTCGCGCATCCCAAAGGGTACCTCTTACATACCTTGTGGCGAATTCCAAAGGCATCGAGAAGAACGCAGAACCACGCCTGGATATGAAATGGGCGGAATGGATTTCCGGAAGGGTGCAGTGGGACCTGGTGGCCCGTATCATGGTCACGGTCCTGAACAACGACGTTTGCAGTGCAAATTTGAACATTCCTCCTTGAGGCACAACCAAATGAACATTGAAGAAGCACCAAATGTAGACCAAGTCTCCGCGGACACACTGATCGGAGACACTCGGTCCAATCAGCATCTTGCAAAGAATGAGCATCCAGACCCTACCTTTGGTACTTCATTCGGACCAACCGCAGGCTTCACTCACGAGCATCGCACTGTTCGCCGTCCGGAGGAGCCAGTCAAAGCGACAACATTCAGTCTGTCTGCAAAGAAGGATGGTACTGGTCCAATTGGCAGCGCATACCGAACTGTTGTTCCAGAACCGCCCGAGCCAGCGCATCGGCCGCAAAATGAACTTGCCGGCTACACCTCGCAAGCAGTGATCAGTTATGCAGGTCACGGCACCAGTCCTCGGCTGGGAGCAGCTAGAGCACCATCCAGGGATGTTGAGCAGCCAAAGTCAACATGGACTACTACTACTACTACTCCTCGTGCACACAGCGCCGCGCCTGCGGATAAATACGAGTGGGTCAGTAATGGCGGAGTAAAAGAGGTGACAATTGAGACACTGTTGAACGATAAAGCGCTGCTTGCGCGCAAGCGCTTGGTGACCCCGGAATGGCATTCACGCTCTCTGGAAAAGCATGATCGGTGGAAGAACAGGTCCGACCCTCGCCTTTCCCGGTCCCAGGTCTTGTGTTTGTTCCATGCTTCCGTTTCTTTTTTTTCCCTTCTCAGCTCTGCCGAAATCATTCCTTTGCACTGAACACGCACTATGCATGAGCCTGCCTCTCCTATTTCCGTGCTGTGGGGAAGGGCATTTGCAGTGAGACCAGATTCCGAGGAACTATTAGCGGATTGCAAAAGCTCTGTAATTGGCTTCTCAAAGATATAAATTTAGGCTCTACAGATTAGTTTTTTATGCGTTTTTGCTGTGCAGCGCTATAGCGCTGCTAAAGCCAGCAAAAACGCATATTGTCGAGAGGCTGTCGGTGTGTGTGTTCGGAAAACGGGTGCATTTTGTCACCCACTTTCATCTCAGCAGCCAGGAAAGCTGGGAGGCTGAAACTTTGAACACATGTTCCTACCCCTTGTGTCATCCTCCCGTTTTAAGATCTTTCCCCATACGCGCCCTAGACCCCGCGTACGGGCCCTAAAGAAATACGTTGGCGGGAAGCGACTTCGCGAACCAGGCAACGTAGAAAGCTGAAACTTTGCAGGGATATCCTCTATGCACGTGCGAGATAAAAATTTTAAACTCAGCTCTTTAGCTCTCCAACCACACCCTCAAGCAGCTCCTCAACTCAAAAATCGTTAGCAACTCGGACCTGAACCGCAGTTGTATATGCAAATGAACATGGATTTTTATGCGTTTTTGCCGTGCAGCGCAAGAGCGCTGCAACAGGCAGCAAAAACGCACATTGCAACGACCCTGTCAGTGTGTGTGTATGTTTGT